GGGGAAATGTTCGACAAGGTATACGGTGACACCGTCCTCTTCCGCTCTACAGGAAGCTTGAGGTATACCACAAGAGACCCGGAGAACATCAAGGCTGTTTTGAGCACTCAATTCAGCGACTTTTCGTTGGGACTTCGCCACAAGCAGTTTAAGGTTCTTTTGGGTGACGGTATTTTCACGTTGGACGGCGATGGCTGGAAACACTCCAGGGCCATGCTTAGGCCCCAATTTGCCAGAGAGCAGGTCTCTCCAGGAGCAATGTTGGAGTCTCACGTACAGCATGTTTTGCGGAGAATCAAGATCCAAAACGGGTCCAAGTTTGACATTCAGCCGTTGTTCTTCAAGTTGACCATCGACTCAGGCACCGAGTTCCTTTTTGGTGAGTCCTGTTCCTCGCTCCAAGACGATATCGTCAATCTCTCTGAACTTGACGGTCCTGAAGGGGTCGAGCTATTTCCCGAAGCTTTCAACACCTCCCAATATTACCTCCTCTTACGGTCCGGGCTCCAGAATCTGTACTTTCTTCTCACCACAAGGGAGTTCAGAAAGTGTAACCGGATTGTTCACACTTTTGCTGACTACTACGTGGAGAAGGCCCTTGCGGCGACTCCAGAGGAATTGGCGAAAACGAACGAAAATGGCTATGTATTCTTATACGAGCTTGTCAAGCAGACCAGAAACCCCGTGGTTTTGCGAGACCAATGTTTGAACATCCTCATTGCAGCAAGGGATACCACGGCAGGACTCTTGTCGTTTGTCTTTTTCGAACTTGCAAGAAATCCAGAGATCTTCCGCAAGCTTCGGGCTGAGATTGTTGAAGCCTATGGCGAGGGAGAAACCGCTGATCTCAGCAAGATGACATTTGAATCACTCAAGAAACTCGAATATCTCAAGTGGGTCCTCCACGAGACACTCAGAATGTACCCTTCTGTCCCACTTAATAGCCGTTTGGCTACCAAAGACACTACCTTGCCTCGAGGAGGAGGTCCAAACGGACAAGAACCTGTTTTCGTGCCAAAAGGTGAAGTGGTGGTCTACACGGTTTTTGTGACACACCGGAACCCAGCCATCTATGGCAAGGATGCAAACACGTTCAGGCCTGAAAGATGGGGTGAAGCAAGACTCAAGAAAGTCGGGTGGGGATTTCTTCCCTTCAACGGAGGTCCTCGGATCTGTTTAGGCCAACAACTTGCCTTGACCCAAGCGTCTTACGTGACAGCTCGCCTTCTCCAGAACTTCTCTGTAATTGACTCATTCGACAATCCTGGAGAGCCTCGCAAGAACGTGCACTTGACCATGTCATTGCTTGATGGGGCCAACATTTCGCTCTGCTAATTATTTATCGTACTTTTTCGTGAACTAAGCCTGTAGGAATAGTCACCACTGCATTATGATACCAATTAAAACCGTCATGCGCCTAAAATCCATTCAATCTCGCAGAAAGGAGGCTATAGATAACAGGGCGATTAAGGTTGAAATTCGAAGCCTCGAACCTTATCAATGTTCCGCTTGGCGAATGCCGCCGCGCTTACTTTAGCCGCCAGGTATCTCGTCTGGTCTTCAAGAGTAATGCGATCGTGCTTGCGATCTGGCATTAGGATCCATCGCTCATACAGCACGTCTCTCTTCGAACAACAACAGCTCCATTCATATGAATTACTCAAAAGTTGATGTTTTGTGACTGTGGCTCACTTGTGGCTCTCCGGAACCAACGGACCCTAGACGCAAGCCAAGCCCAATTTTGACATTAGGCAACCTTCTGTCAAGTGAGGCTAATATATCTTATCTTGGCGTGGAGCCGTATGATCAGATGGAGCTTCACTTAAGCGCCTTGAGTGAGCTACGGCGTTTCAAGCTGTGGTATTACCAATCGCCGCCCCAGGAGTCGTCTTCATCTTCCACCTTGAGATCTAATTTAAGCGTTGATCCCGGTGATTTTGCCGCGGGCTTCTTTGCACCCAAGGTGAGTCCTGGTTTTGCTCTCAGCACACTCTTCTCTGATTTCGCTGCAACAAGGCCCCTGGCAGGTGTTCTGTGAGGCGCTGAAGGCGGTTTGGCGCCTCCAGTCCTACCGTTGTTGCCAATTAACAGCTTCGGCTCGGGCTTAGCACTGCCAAAGTCATCGTCGAAGCCTTGATCCACATCCCATCCATCATCGTCAGAAAAGTCTTCAATGTCTGGTTCGAAAGTGTTTTTGTTTTTTCCCGCCAGCGCAGATATTCCGACGGGTTGTGCCGATTGACTTGAGTCCACGGGAGTCGGCTCTCTAGTCAAATCTGGTGTCGATGAGTTGAAGCTCTTGTTGAGGTCTCCGCCAATCGCTGATGACAGCACAAGCTTGTTGACCATGCTCCAACCAAATGAAGTGGAGCTTGAACTTTCTACCTCCTTCTTCAGCTCCACAGGAGCTTGAGGAGCATGCTGGCGGAAAAACTCCTTCTCCTCTTCGTCCTCGTCCTCTTCATCTCTAGGCAATGATGATGCATGCTTCTCAACTGAAGTCAAATATAGTTGAAAAATACGCTTAGCTTCCTCTCTTACCTTGAAAGATTTCGGGTCCATGAGCGCAATCGCCAAATGTCCCAAGATCTTAGAGCAAATCTCTTCAAGCAGAAATTCCGCTATCAACTGATCAAAACCTGAAAGAGCCATCATCTTGCATGGAACAAAGGAATCTCTCAATGACTTACCAAGTGCGGTTATAATGACACTATTCTTCAGATTGGCGTAAATCTTGGTCGAGATTTTTATGATGAGAATCAAAGTGTTTGTCCGGATAGAGGGTTTGGGATCCATTTGAGATTTGGCCAACACCTTCAACAACTCTTGATTAACTTGCTTCACGCTCACCTTGTCGATGACTGACGTGAAGGATTTAAGCGTCGTTTCACGAATCATAAAATTGGTATCGTTGAAGCCAGTAACTAGACTGTAGAATAACTTGGACTGGACTTCGCTATCAGTCAAAAGATGGGCGTACTTGGGCAAGTAGTTCAAAAGTGTGAGTCTCACAGCTCGGTCTGGAAGCGTGAATGCATGGAAAATTATGGGCTTCACAGTCTTGCTAAACCCGTCCTCGGATAATCCAGTGCCAAGCTTCAAAATGTAGTTGAGAAGAACTGAAATTGTCTCTTGTCTGTGTTGCTGTTGTTCTGCTGTGACAGTTGGGGGAACTTTAGTGTGCACCAAGTTGTTGTACTGTGTTATGATCTCGGGAAGTAACTTGTTATCCAAGTATCCAGGTGGGAACTCCTCGTCAATGTATTGAGCCACATCATTCTTGAAAAATGCTAGTTTATCATGAGCGTTTTGGAATTTCATGTCCTCCAAGAGGCGACTGAATGAGACAAGTCTATTAGAACTGAAGAATGCCTCCGTCTCCTGTAAGAACTTTTCAACCGTGACACGGAGGTTCGGCTTGACGTTGGTGAGCTTTTTGACTGGTTGGGCCAAGGAACGTGGAATCTGTGAATTCCCGGCGAAAGCCTCGCCATTTGTAGCCACCACGGGATCATTGTACAGAGTAGTAGCCAAAAGTGTGAAAATAAACACTCCTAATTTGTAGGAGTCGAATTTGAAAGGATACGGTCTTATCGCCTCAACACCACCAGCCACTACCTCATCTGGCAAGTTCTCATTGAACATAGGGCACAGGGACGAAAGACGATAAATCGGCTGGTCAGGATCAGACTTCATTGAGGTGAGAAGTTCGAAGCCAAAAAGCTTCCATTCGCCTTGGGCATTGACAAACACTGATGACGAAAGGTCCAAATGTCCATGAACAGAGTATGCCTTGGTGTTAATGAACAGCAAAGCATGAGCGACATTGTAAATACCGTAAAGTTTCGTTTCCTTCGTTATTTTGTCTGAATGAGCAGCCAAATAATGCTGCAATGGCGTCACATGTTCGGTGATGATATACAAGTAAGATTCTGATTCGACGTAATCCACGATGGATAAGATTCCAGGAAACTTGATGAGCTTCAGTTTTTTAAAACAGTTACGCGCTAACGCGTCGTAATTCCACCGAGTGGCAGCTGGATCCTTCAAGTTGAACTCGAAGATCGTAACTGGCGTGTCTGTTTTTGGATTGATGCCATTGTAGATTGTCCATATCGAGCGTGAATCGGGATATGTGGCCTTCAACGGGTCTATGATCTTCTCCTTAAACGTATAAGGAATGGAAGTTCCCGTCAAGGTGGAAATCGCCGAGGAAAGGAAGTTCATGTGGTGGTTCTTAAGAAGTGAAGGTGCTCTGTTATGGTGGTGAATGCAAATGCAGGAGGTTGATCCGGGTTGGAAAACCAGGGTAGTGAAAGGGTTGAAAAGAAAGTAATTAAATGCATTTGTAAGATGGCTTCTTCATTCTCAAGAGTAAATGTAAATTTCTTGATATTTTGATTGCCATCCGATTCGATTTTCTCGGTATGATTGTTGAGACCCTCATCAAACTATGTGAGACATCATTGCCTTGAACATACGCAATATTGAGGGCACTGCAACAATTTCTTAAAATTATGCAATATCTTCATTCCTTTTCTGATGAGGTTATGTTCACAAGCGAAGCTTGAAGGTGATAGGATGAAACAAGTTTCAGATTCTCTGAACTCGTCGAGTTGTCAACGTACCGGTGTAACATACCGAACCACGCTGCTTTCGACTGTAGCGTTATCTCTTGAACTATGGCAGTGATTTCTTTAAAATCCTAACTGTTTCTTACAATCAGAGCTTATGGGTGCAAATGGTCAAAAAGAGAAGAGGCCGAGTATCTCGAGGCTTCTTTCAGTTTTTCCTCTTTTTGAATAATCATTGAAGAACCCAAGTCATATACTCCCGGATAAGAACTTCAATATGTCCGAATCATATTTCAAACTTGTAAATTTCTCGAACAATAAGCTAGTACTATGCCTGCTGTGAGCCGCACCAAATGGCTGCAAAAAAATCACTCCTGAAACTACATAAGGGGGCGAATTCCCCTAGAAAAAAGGACAAATTAATAAATGAGCTTTTCCAGGCTTCTTTTGGATGTCGACCCACACCTTGCATCTACTCTTAGAGGGGTGGACCACGAAACACAGTTCCCCGTGTTACATGTTGTTAAGAGAAAATGGAATAGCTTCTTGTTTTCAGCTGTCACGTATGCCATTTTTGAAAAGCGGATAGTTCACAACTTGATCCAAATGATCCCCGACTTGGCAAACATTCCATTGATTTCGTGGTTCTTTTCGAAAGAGTTATCTTCCGTTGCCCCTGGAAGCCTAGCTGTGGTGGCCTCCTCCAGACGCTTTCTGGAACAGACCCCTGAGGAGCCCGTTGCTTACTTAGACGCGGACAAGGTAATGCAATTTCCAAAGGAGAATCAAAAGAGATCATACGAAGACGCGATGATTGAGTATACAAAGCTGAAGGAGCTTTATGTGGCACAAGAAAGAGCACGTTTGTTGACCGAGTTGGTCCATTTGGTGCAGTGGTGCTGGGAGGAGCGAACTTTGTCTGTGGTTTGTTATTATTCCCCCGAGGAGCTTACAGGGATAGAAGAAGCCATTGAAGCTGCCATGGAAGAGTCAGAAAAGGGTCTTCTTTCGGTGGTCACTTCACAGAGCAAGCGTGAGCTAGTGGTTGGTCGCAGCACTCAGGAAGGTGGAGTAGGCGTGATGACCATATATATTGCGACCAAGACGCACATGCCAATTAACCAGAGCTTTGATTTGATCATTGCTACATCGGAAGAAAATCCAATGGTCACCCTCCAATCGTTCGTGTGCCAGGGTACGCCGTTTATCACACCTACTGCTCGCGCCTTCAGCCGCGCCTCCTTCAACGAGGCTCTCCGCCACTACTCTTCCAATCAAAGCAGATAGAAAGTAGCTTCGCTTTTTAACATCTTTTTGAGATTTGCAATTCACAATTTCGGGTGCCTCTAAACCTTCTTTGGCAACCACAAATGCTACCATTTAGTTGCGGTGACCTGCGTACAGAGGCATCTATCAGGTCCGTACTTGTTTAGATCTCGTCTTGTGCGTCACTATAACCTGTCACAACTCCCCCATGCTTAAACTACTAGACCCATTACACTGCAGCAGAGTCCTTTTGTGGGTGTCCCGACGACCCACACCCATTTGGTGTCTTCCCTCCTCGAGGCGCTGTGCTTTATCTGCCCCCTCGCCCTCAGGCCAGTTTAACAGGGGTTTCACAACGCTAAATTGCCGTCTTCTAAACGAGGCAAAGCAGCCAAAGGATACTACTGAGCCGGAGCAACCACCGCAGGATAAGCTGGAGCTGGTATCAGATAAGGATACAAAGGTGGCGAGCCCAGATTCGGCCTCTCTCTTCAATTTCTCGAATCCTGTCGTGGTTCCACCAGGAACAGAAGAGCAGAAGAGTCCGGAGGTAGACGAGGATAGCCCTGATGATTATCTCACCACCATTTTCGAGAACATGGAGCCATATATTGATACTTACGATGTCTACAAGCAACTCACGCGAGCAGGCTTCACCCCAGCACAGAGTGACGAAGTGATTAACCTTCTCATAGTGCAGGTGAATTCAAAGCTTCTGAAGCTTTCTACCAAATACTCTCAAGAGTACGAGCTAGAGAATGAGCGATACCTTTTTGAAAGTGCACAGCAGGAGCTCAATGTCGACGTCACTCGCAACCGCGAGAATCACATCAACGATAACATCAATCAGATCAACGTGCTTGAACGTGACTTTGGTACAATCAGAGACGAGCTCAACAATCACTTCATTCAAATGAAGAACGATATCCAGGTCGCCATTAACGACCAGAAATCCGAAAACACGCTCATGAGCAAAAACATAATGCTACGCATCAAAGAGACGAACCATAAAATCACGACAGACTTCACCATGGCTATGCGCTCAGAAATTGAGAGTCTTCGATGGCACTTGTCTAGATGGGGTTTGATAGCAATCATGGTGTCGGTGTTCTCTGCTTGCGCTTCGTTCTATGTCTACAGAATCCGAAGCTTCAGGAAAGCCGCCGAAAAGAACGAGTTTGTGCCATTAGTCATTTATGAGCCAAGCGAATACGATGAGGACGACTTTCATGCCGATTTGGACCCTAGCATCCTCTAAATCCATTGACGTTGGAGGCTGTCGACTCACGTGATACTAGTATAGAAAAGTGGGCTTATACCGCACATAGCAAACGCTCTAACGTATTGCTTCTTTCCTGAATCGCCCTAGCAGAACAGAAAATGTCGGAATCTGAGGGAAACGAATGTAAACCGCAAGCATGTGCTATCCAAGACTGTTTACAAAGTAACGGATACAATGAGTCCAAGTGCACTAAGGTGATTGACGAATTGTACAAGTGCTGCAAAGAGTTCTACGAGAAAAATGGGCCGGAAGCTCAAAGTGTTTGCTGTCCAAAGTTCAACTTGTTGCAGACTAAGCTCAAGCAACGTCTGTTGGGCAAGATAGATGCCGAGTTGATCAAATAAGGGCCATGAAGTGCAGATCTAGCCGGAGGTGGTGATGTAAGTTACGAGCCGCGTAACTGCCCGAAGGCAGTTCGACACAAAGGGCCGGAGAAACTGGTTAATCTAAGGCTTACCCGAGCACGAAAGGCCACACAGTGGCGCTGATTACATGTGGAAGTAGGCATGCAAACCGTGACTCTAATGGGCGCCTATTAAAAGACATTGTATGAAGAAAAAGAAGAAAGCAGTGTGAGAAATTTTCTCCTGTCTTGAGGGCACCCCAGCAGGTGCGGGTAACCCGTGCACTACTCAACGGTGGTGGTTGCAAAAAGAGAATATACGTTAATGCCGTCCCAGTGATGAATTCTATTTAATTGGATTATTTTGTCTACTCTGTTGGATCCTCTTTCTCAAGAGCTGTCCCAGCTCTGTAGTCCCGAACATGGGGCATGAGACTCTTGTACGGCGAAGAGCTATCAAGCCACAAGTATTCCACACCATTGGCACTCTTGGCCTGAACCGATTGACGGTATTCTTCCAAAGCTTTGTCGGCCTCCACAGGCTCGACCCCAGCGTCAATGAGTTGCTTCCTGAGCATGGCGATATGGACACCCATTTTGAACGTGGCCCTATGCAGCGCTCTAGCCACTTTCATCATGTCTTGAAGGTGTTTCTGACGGGCATTGGCGAAGAGCTGTTGTTGCTGTTGCATGGCTTTGGTGTTGATGGCGGTAGTCTGCTTGATTACCTTCTCAAGCTTCACCTTGGCAACGTAGTTGTCGTAAGCATAGTAAGCAATTCCAAGCGTTGCAGCGAAGTTTAGAACGTCCCAGAGCATACGGGATCCCAGTGCCCTGTTGGGTTCTGGGAAATGCTGCTCGTACGATGGCTGTTGATATCCGGAATTATGGTTCGTTGGCGGCACCGGACTACCTAGATTCGAATCAGGAGTCGGTGAGCCGTACGGTGCCGGGTAATTATTGGGATTGCCAAAGTGGCTAGGCGGTTGGCTTAAAAGACGTCTAAAACGAAGCATCAGCTGGTAGTTTAGTATGCGCGGAAGTCGCAACATAGTACTACTAGTGCGTGTGTGGGTGTGTGGGTGCTACAGTGTGTTTCCATGAAGCCGCTCTATTACCTATCTTGCTTTACCCTCAGCAGCCTTGATGTACAAGATATCTCCGTCCTCGACAAAGTAGTCCTTGCCCTTCTGCATCAACTTACCGTTGGACTTGACGGTAGCCTCATCACCGAGCTCAACCAAGTCCTCGTACTTCATAACGTGAGCCAAGATAAAGGTTCTCTCCAAGTCGCCGTGAATGGTACCGGCAGCCTGTGGGGCGGTGTAGTATCTTCTGATGGTCCACTCTCTGACCTCATCTGGACCACCGGTGAAGAAAGAGATCAAGTCCAACTTCTGTCTCATGGTGGTGATGACCTTTGGCAAGATGGACTGGGCGCCAATCTCCTTACAGTAGGCGTCTCTCTCTTCGTCAGTCTCCAATTGAGACAAGTGGGACTCCAAAGAGACGGAGATTGGGATAATGACATCACCAGGGGAGTTGGCGTCAACCCACTCCTTGATCTTCAACAACCACTTGTTCTTCTTACGCACGTAGTCACGCTCACTCAAGTTAAGCAAGTAGATACATGGCTTGGCGGTCAAGAGGAACATGGAGTTGATGACCTCCACCTCCTTCTGAGTCCACTTCTGGTTGGCAACACGGCCACCCTCTTCCAAAAGCTGGATAATGCGCTTGACCAACTCGGCCTCCTCCTTCTTCTGCTTCACCTCCAAAGACTGGCCGCCTCTCTTGGTGATCTTCTCAATGCCTTCCAAGTGCTTAGTAGCGAACTCGATATCCTTCAATCTCAACTCGTCCTTAATGATGTCCAAGTCGGCAACGGGGTTGACCTCGTCGTTAATGTGGATGATATCGGAGTCTTCGAAACAACGCACAACCTGGTAAATGGCATCGACAGCTCTGATGTTGGCCAAGAAGTTGTTACCCAAACCTTCACCGGCACTTGCACCCTTTGTCAAACCAGCAATATCGTAGATGGTCATGAAAGCTGGCACCTCCGACTTGGGCTTGTACAATTCGCACAACTTGTCGAAACGAGCACTAGGCACAATGACACGGGCCTCCTCAGGCTCGATGGTAGCAAATGGGTAGTTGGCGGGGTTACCCAATGGGCATCTGGTGATAGCCTGGAAAAAAGTGGATTTACCGACGTTGGCAAGACCAACAATTCCGGACTTCAAGTTGTTGCCGGGTCTACCGAGCAAAATTGGTTTTTCAACGGGTCCCTTCTTTTTTGGTGCCATGGTGGAGTTGAGAATGTGGTTTTTTCGCTGCTTTTTTTTTTTCAACAACCTCACCGCTTGCGAGGGTTATATGAACGCAGTCAGATGAACATCGTCACGTGTAGGATCCTGTAGACCTTCAATTCTTCGTAATAGAAGTCATTTCTATCAGTTTCATCTTCTTGAGTTATTTATTCACTTCAACGGATCCGCCTTCGAAAGTCCGGTGAACTTTTTTTGTGTGCAGCACTACCTGCTTAACATCGACTTCTCACGTCCTACATCCTCATCCTTCACCATGCTTTCCTTCCGTGTGGCCAGAAGCTTCCACGTGTCTACTGTGGCCAGGCAGTCTATCTGTCCCGCAGGCACAGTGCTTAATCTCAAAATCAGAAAATCGGGTGACGAGCCTGTGGCCTTGAAAGACGAAGAGTACCCTGACTGGCTCTGGGACTGCCTTGACAAGCCCAAGATGGACAAACAGTTGAAGGATAACGACATTATGAAGTGGCGCAAGAAGCAGATCAACAAAGCCAACAACGCCAAAATCAAGAACAATAACTTTGTTTCTCAGATGTGATTTTATCGCTCCAAAATCTGTACATAGAAGCTATAATACATCATTTGCAATCACCAAGGGTTTTCATCGTTATCACCCCAGTTCCGGTGTACCAAAGACAGAGGAACTTGCACAGTTTTGAACAACTCATCTCCCTTGAAGGAACGGGAGTTATCCACAGGAGGGCGTTCCTCTGTTCTTTCGTCGCCGTTGCTCTCCTCCACAGGTTCTTCTTCTTCATTATCATCGCCATCATTCTCATCGTAGTCATAGGTGTCATTCATATTTGACTCCCTGTTCTTTGTGAGAATCTCATCGACGTCATCCAACACTGTCACAGGCAAAGTTGGTTGGAATTTCTTAGCCCTCAAGGACTTGACACCTCCGAGACCAGCACCATACCTAACGATGAGCTCATTCAAGTTGGGCAAAGCAATTCCAAAAATGAAGTTGGGGTTAAGGTAAACGTAGAGCTCCTTCAGCAAGAAGGTACTTTGAGTCATATAATGCAAGAGACTGCGCTCAATCTGTTTCTCTCCATGCTCATTCATGAGGCGTTTGAGGTATTGGAGAAGTGGTTTCGGTAGCTTAGTCTCCTCAACTTCATAACGGTAGAGCTTGTTGGCGACCTTGAACAATTGGTAGTAATTAAGCGTGTCGAAATGGTTTATGGTGTTTATGAGACTGTCCTCATCTTTGAGAGCGGACATGCATTGCAACCATTGCAACAACTCTATAGTGGGCATCAATTGACTTTTACCAATATGATACAACGATCTGTAGTAAAAAGCGAGGCAGTGAGGATTCTTAGTGTCAGTCGCACCTTCTGTCTGAGGTGTTTCATCGAGCAAATTGTGCAACTTCAATTGATGGCCACCCTCCTCTGGTTTCAAAAGCTCAATTAAGCCGCCTGCCTTCTCTGGTTTGTAGATGCTATAGTTGTGTGAGCGCAACCAATCTTCCAAGGTGGAGATATTAAGACGAATCTGTATGGCTTTTGCACGGGAGCAGTATTTTGAGTTGGCCACAAGACGGTTGAATATGGTGGCATTGATGTAATAGAAAACCTGGGAGTAGGTTTGAAGCCTCAATAAAGGATCCACCTCATGCAATTTGAGAACATAGTCAAGAGCACCAAGCACTTGGACATATTTGAGTGGCGATGGCTTCATTAGCTCCTTCATAGTAGGAGGGAAGAGCATTTCTAAAATGTCGTCGTAGGTACTAGGCTGGTCCTTCATGTTTGGCTTATTTTTGAAGAAGTTCCAGTCCTTGGCATACAAGACAGATGAAACGTCAACCAAGTTCGTGAACTTGAGCAAGCAGTCATCGACAAGTAAGTTGAGTCTCGAATTGATCGAAAATGAGAGGGTGGCCACTAAGGATTGTGTGATGTTGACAAACTCCTGAAGAAATGCGGGATAGTCGTGGTATATGTTCGCCTTGGCAAAGTAAAAATGCAAAAATTGAATTGCAGAAAGCCAGTAACTCAATAGGACAATGTCGCCAGCACCAAGAGCTGCTGCTTTGTCACCCTCTGCGATTGCCATATTGAAGACACCGGATTTTGTGTTGGTGACGGACCTCAATCTTGCAATGAAACACTCAAAAAGAAATTCCGTCAAATCCTTGCTATGGACCTTATTGTGGGAGTATCTGACGAGTTGAAATACAATGGCAGCTGGCACCTTCGTGGAATGCTGAAATGTGGTATTTTCCTTCCGCAAATTGAAAATGTAGTCAAGCAAGGATGGGATATCAGAGTCGGAAAACTTGATAAACTGCT